TAAAAAGAAAAAAAATTCATAAAAAGAAAAAAAAAAGGTTAAAATGACAAGGAACAGTATTTGTAACAGCTACAGTAATGTGACAAATCACTCATGTTTTCAAATGAATGATTAAAACAAAAAGACAAAGAAAGTACTGGTCAGGTGTATTGTAATTTGAATAACAAAATTATCCAATTTCTATAATAATCTTAACTTCAAACACCCAAGGATATTACTGGTGGTTATATCAGAAAAGAATATCCCAATAACCCAACCACTTTCCTTCATCAGGGGTAAATGGCAAAAATGGTTTTATAACTTTCTTATAATAATCATGTTACTGAACATTATGAAAACCAGACAACTTCATTTTTACCTGTAGTATGAGATCTTGCAGCTGTTGCTTTTTGATTTTTATCCTTTCTAGCCTGTTCTTTTTTTCTATCTGAAGAACACACACAAAAAGAAATAATGAAGGAACAATAACTATTATCATTTGTTTCTAAAACTTCTAATGTAACACACCTTGAATGCTCAGTTCAGAACAATTAAAAAAATAAATAAAACTCACCATCTTTTAACCTCTTATTATGAAACTGAAGAATTTACACTTATATACTGGGCATAGCAATGAAAAGGAAGACATCACACAATATTTTACTCTCATTTTAAGTTATACCGAGCTTAAAGTTTATAACTTAGAGGACTCTCCCACTGACTTATCTGAACTGCCTGAAGTCAGTATTGGTAGAAACAATAAAAATTACCTGATCATGAGAAATGTTAGGATTCACAGATCTGATGCTCTCTTGTATATCTTGTTTTGGTATACTGCTAACTTGTTATTCTTTTTATTTTATATTCCTGTTCATTATCAGTGGTAAATTAACCAAAGCAATACCACCAATTTTAAGGACCAAGTACAAATTGTGATTATGAAACATCTGTCTCCACTAATGTTATACATTATGTTTAAGTCTCCCCAGTTTGATGATGTTATTTCTAGAAGATTAAGGTGAATTTTCTTTGTGTCAATGACTTTTTGACCCATGACCTTCAGATGTTAATCAGGATTATAACTTTGTATTTAGTACTGTTGTAAAAGTTTGGTCAAAATCCATTCATCCAATCTAGAGATATCCACACTTTGGGAGAAAAGGATAGATGAAAAGAGGCAAGACAATACAAAAAAGTCCCAATCAATATCAAATTAACCTTTGTAATACCATCAACAAAAGCTACTTTAGATTTCAGCATTTCCCATACTTTTCTGTTGCATATACCATGGTCATTCTCTGGTAAAAAAAATGATCTTATGCATCCAGTTATTCCTATATACATTATATTTAAGTTCAGGTTCATTATCACAGACAGTCTTCACACGAAGAGATGAAAAGATGTTTCTTTTTATTGTGATTACCATTTCTTGAACTTAAATGTAGAGAAGTACTTAAACACTATAACTGAAGCAGCAATGAGAGAGTGATGACTCAACAAGCTGAAGAGGAGAATCTGTAACATCTTTCAAATACTTCAAAATGACATCAGATTTTTAATGAGCATGTTTACATATCAATAACAGCCTTACAGTAAAGACACTTCAAACATCAAGCCCTTTTTTTCTTGAACTTTAGAATGAGCCAGTCAGAAATTTTAAGTGTCTACAAATTACCAGTTACAAGCTTGGAGAACAGGGCATCATTTTAATCTTAACCTGCAATATTAAGATATCAGATAAAAATGCATGATTATGCACCTAGTGAGCACCAGTCAAAAAATATAAAATAAATATTTATATAATTTCATTGTCAAATAAATAGCAAGCAGTCTTAAACAAAACTACACTAGTTACTTGCTAAGCAGCAATACCAATAAAACTTTTCTGTAAACAATGACAAAAGCTGATAAGTGTCCAGAAGAAGAGACTGGTTAAAATGGAATTCATAGGACAGGGACTAGATGAGTCAACATACTTCAGGCTAAAGCAGTGTGAATCTATATACATAAAGCACAAAAATCTGTGTGTCTGTCTGTTTGTCCCTTATTTAATTACTCCTAGGTTGCCGGGCCAATCTCAACCAAACTTTGTGGGATGATAGTTTGGAACAAGGAGCATGTTAATGGGGTGATCACAATCTCTCCACACCCATTACTGATGTTATTGAACATTTATTATCTTTGACATAAGTTAATGTTAACTACATTCATACACAGTACCACATTCTTACACCAAACAAAAAAAAAAACATTAAATTTTCCATCCCCCAGTGAGACAGCAGTAAGTCTTCTGATTTAAAACCATAAAATCAGGCATTTGATTTCCCTCAGTGGACACAGCAGATAGCCAGATGTGGCTTTGCTATTAGAAAACACACACATTAAATTTTCTATAACATAACATACATACAGTGTGGGGGAGGACACACGATTGTCTTGCATATATCTCTCTATACATAAACTCAGATGATGTTGATACTACAACAGCCACCAGATAAAACACTCATATAAAGAGCCATCTCTTGAGTTATACCCACTTCCTACTTTGACCCATGACCATACAACTTTATCGTGTAAGACACTTCTGCAGCCAATGACCATCAGTTAATTAATAAAGTGAAAGAGTGTGAAAGGACATTAAGAGGTGGGTGTTGAAAGCAGGTAACAGAAAGCACTCCTATCACCAATACTTTGACTGCTACCTTTTCATACAAAATCACCCTGACCACATTCTTAAAGCTTGTACAAAACTTTTTGTGAGGCAATAATGAATACTGTAATAATATTTTATGTTACAAATAAATTAGGTGACAGTTAGGATTTTTGTATTTTTATCATAGCATCCACCTCCACATTTTTTTATGTTCATAACCTGGACAAAGGATGGGTACCTCAGCTTGTTATTTATAAAAGGCTCTAATAATAGGATCCCATCACAAGTTTTTACAGAAACAAAGCTCTAATCAACATAAAGATCAGTCTACTTAATGTATGTAAAAACAAAATATCCCATATGAAAGGAGTTTGTACTAGCACATTTCTTTCCTTGATAGCAAAATTGAGAACCAACTATCTATATGGGTCGGTTTTTACTTTTCTCTAAATGTAAATATTTCTCAGCAATGGTATATTAACTGTCTAATTTTGATATTACTGTTATTAGTTATTAACAATATTTTTGTCTGTAATCTTAATACCAGGTTCAACCAGGTTAGGAGATTTAGATTGGTCCTAAATTTATATATTAAGCACAATATTCATTGTAAGCATAAAAATTAACATTCAAAAATATCATAAAGATTATAACAAATAATATTAATAAAGCTAACAAATAAATGGAGTATGTCATTACTTACATTAAAACCAGCTGACTGCTCCTAAAACCCAACACAGCTCACCAATGTTCAGAACCTGAATATACTTGTAAGTGTTTACATTAACAAACAAAATAGTGAAAACCTAGCACTTTCAATATGTGAATTTGTCTTCTTCCCTAAAGACAGGTCCACTTTTTGAAAGCTTTAAGGTTTAATCAGATTATTTTAATGCAACTTACCAAATTTTTTTTTATCATACATTTTTTGTTTTTATATCATGGGCATATAAAGGTTCATAATGAGTTTTTGCAGTAGTATAAATCCACAAACAATGTTCGAAGATATGAAAATCAGCTAAAAATTATATGTAAAACACTAGCAACTTAGGAAATTATAACAATGTTCTGATTTTTTTCGAATTTTATCTCTAGATTGTGATATTTCTGAACTTAATGATTTTATAAAACTCTACCTCTAGGTTTTGACACTCTTGAGCTGAATTGGTTGGTAACCCTTGCCACTTGATCTCCTTTTTCTCTTTAGAAATAATGTTCATAGCCATCAGAACATTCAGGGCATCATAAACTCTTCTTCTGATGTTCTTCTGATCGTATGACTAAATAATAAAAAGTGTAAACTAGCCTTAGCTGACTAAATCTATATTCACAAGGTGAAGTTTGTCAAAAGAACTTAATAAGCAACTTTTCACTAATAAGATATGTATGAGCCAACATGATTAAAATCCTCCATATCACAAATAAATAAATGTTTTGTAAGTAGTCAAACAGCCTTATGGAGAGCAAAATAGTTGGAAGACTGATGAAATCTCCAGGTTTCACCAAATAATAGTTGGTTTTAGCATTTGAAATCTGACAAATATTTGTCACTTATAAAAAGTAGAAATTACTGTATCACATCCTACAAAATTAATAAAACTTACACAAGTTTCACTTTTAAGATGCACTTTCACTTTTAAAATATTTCTTGGTTGGTTAATAGTTACCTAAGAAATTTCATGCCACTTATCTGATATATTACAGTGTTATAAAAAGTTAATAATCGTGCATTTGCTATTTTTTTTTCAATTCTACTGTAAGATGTGCTTTCTAAATCTATGATACACATATTTTGTCATTGTAAAACAAACATACAGGGTGTTTAAAAATATACAGTGAGTGATAAAGCATTTCTAGCATTAATGCTTTTAAACAAAAAATATAAGATTTTATTTTGAATGTCAAAACCTTAAGAAATATGCTATATATCGTTTTAATTATATTTCCAGGGCAAAATAAAAAATTTCAAAAAATACATTATAAATATTGCTTGCAAACTGTACAGTGGGTTCAAAATACTCCACAGAATAACAATTAAATATCATGACCAAACTCTCACCAGGTCATTATGTGAGAGCCATCAGTGTTCTAAACCTTTTTCTTCTAGTATAAATGGTAAAGTATGTTAGTAATCTATCAACTCGGTAAGAAAACATTTCAGTACTGTGTTCAAAGTCTTACGTGGTCAATATGAGAGTTGTCTGTAAGTTATGTTACTAATTCTACAGCCCAGTATGGAAACATTGCAGTACCGTGGTCAAAGTCTTACCTGGTCACTATGACAGAGTTGTCTCTGGTTGTATATAAATTATGTTACTAATTCTACAGCTCAGTAGAGAAACAATTCAGTACCATGACCAAAAATCTTACCTGATCACTGTGAGAAAGTTGTCTCTGGGGGTCTGTAAATTCTGTTACTAATTCATCAGCTACCTCATTGTAAGATGTGGTTCCCTTCTTCTGAACTTTTTCACACACTTTCATTGAAAAGTGACGTAATCCTTTACCACTCTTTTCTCCTTTTCTGCTTTTTTTGCTAAATGGCATAAAATATAAAACAATTTAATGTTATATTATAATAAAAATTAAATGAAGCAGCTGTAACAATGTTATCTCCTCATCTCAACATGACCTCAAATATTTCCTTTCTTTGGCACTTCTTGTTAGATAATAGGTTTGAAAGCAACTAACCTCTAATTGTTTTCCAAGTGTAAGACAGTTTATCAGCTGAGTTACACATTGACATCATTAAATAAATTCTATCCAAGTTAAGAAAAAAAAAATTAAAAGAAAGTTGAAAAATAAAATACAACAAATTACGAAATAAACATAAAAAAATTCTTGCACCATCACCAAAATTTTGAAATCTAGTGTTGAGAAGCAAATCATTTTTTTTTATTGAACCACACATAGCCTCCTATTGAAAATCTAGCAAAAATAACTTGGACTTCAAGTTACATTTTTACGCTACTTTCGATTGTATCAAGGAGAGATAATGAGCTTAAGAACAGATACACATAGAGCAAATACTATACACCTATCTATAATAGCTGTGGATATTTTTTCATATCTTGAACTTTCCTGGTGATGCATCTTATTAATAATCTTTTATCCAGCCCAAACTTTTTTCACATTTCATATAGACTTAGACATAAGATGAAATGTCATCTTAACTTTTTTCCATGCATTTCCCCTAAATCTGTGCAAGATTTTTTTTTAAAAAAAAGATTCTTTACAAAATATTTTTAAACTATCTATATTCACTTGTAAATGCAAATGTTGACTGGGTGAAACCGAAAACCCTCAATTTTAATAATGAACACATGTAATTCACCTTATCATGTACTGTGTAAATATTTTATTCTGAGATAAGACATTTTTAACATAGTACAAACAAAAAAAGCACTTAAAATGACAAGAAATAAAAAAAAGTTGTGAAATGCAGACATTGCAGATTGGTTCATTATATCAAAACCAGTATAGTAGTTATTAAAAGTTCTATTTACACACATTTGCACAATTATACCTATATGTGTGGAGCTATCAAGCTTGTATAAAAACATATTTTATAACAGCAAGTATGTTGTATGCATAAGACAAGAAATACACTTACTTGATAATTTTGTTTGTTTGTAGCTTAGCACAAAGCTGCATAATAGGCTACCTGTGCTGTGCCCATAATGAGTATAAAAACCATGTTTTTAGAATTATAAACTTTCAGACTTAATGCTGAGTCACTAGGGAGCTTACTTGATAATGAAACATGAAATGTATCTAGTAAACATTCCAAAAATGATCAAACAAAAACTTTATGTTAAATAATACATTAACGATGCCAAATAAAACAGAGCTGTCTTTGGAAAGCATCATCCAACTTTAAAAATAAATCACCTCTCATGGTTTTAAACAAAGTATTTTTGTGTAGACCTTCAGAAATAAATCTCTATAACATGTGTCATATCACATATCTTTTATGCGAAGTACTTTTGTTATTCAGTTTTAAGCTTCATCATAGTATATTATGGCATACAAGTTAGCTGTTAAAATGAACTATCCCCCCCTACAAAAATTCAGTTTAAGATCTAGCTATGTTTTCATGTACAAGATAAAAAAAAAAAGACAAACAAATCAATTTGCTTAACTGTTGTCAACCAGTAAGTGTGTGTGTGTGTATGCATGAAACGAGTTTACAGTTTTCTGATACACAGTATGACAATGAATGTTTGGTTATCGACATAAAAATTTGAAAATCTTAATTTCTCGAGGTACATGAGCAACATTTTTTGCGTCACTCAGGTCACAACTTCTCATCTTAACTTACATTTCTAATGTATGTAATTACATTTAAAAAAACAACTTAAAATGTTGTAAATGTACCAAAACTGAAAATATATTCAAAAATAAAATAATTTCAGCTATACATATCTGAAAACTCTCTCTCCTAATATAAATTCAATAAATTAATGAGCCTCTATAGCTTAACATGCTATATTCTAGACCTAGAAACTTCTATGCATGTTTCAAATAATTCACTTTGTTACACATTTCAAATTTATTTAGACCACATTCGATTAAAGTTATTAAAATATTTTACAATAAACCTGCTAGAAAACTATGCACACTGATCGTAAAATCTCAAAGCCAAGTTAACTTCTAGACTTCAGCTGTTATAAAACTCGAGAGCTTTATGAAACTCACTTGTCAAAAAAATGCTAACTTTTATGAATATTAAGTTACAGCAGATGCTATGAACCATGCTATGTATACATGATTAAAACATGTTACCTTTCAGAGAAGTCTGGTGGAGACAGTTCATGTGGTCGTTTGCCTGAATAGTGACCTTCGTGATCTGCCACATGGGTCATGTTGTGTTGAGGAGTTCTAGGACTGGTGTTGATGAGATGTACATTGGTACGCTGAGGTGTGTTTAATATCTGTAAGTATCAAGGTAGAAAGACAATTACATTAATTGAATAATTTATGCCTAATTTTTTAAGAAAATATAGGAATACACATGAGTAGAAACTGCACTCTATCAGCAATTGTTCAAAAATTGTACATCTATATAATTTTAATGTTTCACTGTGTTATAATGATTTTCACTATCCCTCTACACAACACAATTTTACCACATCCTGCAGATAGTGCAAGATTTGATTAGTTGTTTTACCATACCATATTTGACATTGAGACATTATTTTATAACAGTATATTAAAATGCTTCGTTTTATGTTTTCAGATTTTTTCACACAAGTCCTTAAGTTAATCAGAAAAGTAAGTGAACTAGTATAAACATCAATAATCCATATCAATAGAAACAAAATTCGATAATATATATATCAAAATTTCGTTTTTAGTGATTTGATTTGTCTATGTGGATATTTCTCAGATGGTCTTAGTTTTTCAGACATTTTCAGTTCAACATTTTGAAATATTCAAAGGAAGTACAACTACAGAAATACATAATGGATAAGACATTATAATTTTTGATTTCAGTGAGTAGAACTGAATTTTTGTGGAGATTAAACAAAGGTCACATATCCAAGTCTATAAAATTCATACATGGTAGCTTTTTCAGCAAACATTTATTTAACTAGAACTATTTACATGTACATTATACATAATTAGAAACTTGCACTTCTTTTACTGTACAGTACTACATACTAATAACTTCTTGAGATATATGACAACGCAACAATTGTCATTTCACAACTTTAACTTGCAAACTTTGCAACCATTTTCAAGTGGTATGCCTATGTAAGCATACAAGTGGTGTGTTTGTGAACATACCTTGTACCAGAGAAAAACTCAATACACATATTGTACTGATCACGACTAGACATACATAATTTTCATCTAAAATAATACACATGTAGTACGACCAGACTGTTCATTTGTTTCGTTGCCTTACACGCTATTCAGATTATTGCTGAATTGCTGCATGAATAATGATTTTCATAAACACACTAACTGCTTTAATTTACTTTTACTTAAAAATTTCAGCAAGTACAAGTCTATGGTGAAAATAGCTTTGAAACATAATGTAAACCATCTTTAGTCAGTCTTCTTCATGTAATAATGTGACCTTGCTTTAACTTCAATGTGGGTTAGCTTAAGAAACTGTTGAGTCATAAAATGTATATTACTTTTTATTTTAGAACAAAGCTGCACAATGAGCTACTTTCAGACCATAACTAACAATTTTACTTTAAGTCGCTAAACCTCAATAAGTATCCAGGTTTTGGTGTCTACTAATGCTGAATGTCACTGCTCAATGAGAATCCAAGTTTTGGCATCTACTAATGCTGAATACCATTGCTCGTTGAGTATAACCAGCTTTTGATATCTACTAATGCTGACTGCCATTGCTCAACTAGTATATCCAGGTGTTTGTGTCTAGTGATGCTTAATACTGTTATGATTCTAGCATATCTGTTTCATCGGTGAGCGTTTAGAAATATTTTAATCAGAGACTACACTTATTAAAGAATATATATCAGATTAATTTAAATATTTATGTATACACTGTCTATTTTCATAATTGTCATGATATCCACTTCCACATTGCATCTGTTTAATTTTAATTTGCTTAAGTTAAGCACAAAGCTATACAATGGGCTATCTGTGCTCTGCCCACCACGGGTATCGAAACCCGGATTACAGCATTGTAAGTCCGCAGACATACCGCTGTGCTACTGGGGGGCATTGCATCTGAATCTCCACTGTCAAAGAGTTATGCACTTTTTGCTATGTTAAGCAGTAAACGTTTGTTTGTTTCTTATAGTGCAAAGCCACATTGGACTATCTGCTGTGTCTACTGCAAGGAATCAAAACCCAGATTTTAACAGTGTAAGTCCATAAACTTATCACTTTCCCACTGAGGGATGCAGTAAATGTACCTGAGTTTGCATCCTTATATACTTGCTGTATATTTATACAATTTTAATTATAAACTCATGATAAAACTTCAGTTCAAACAGCTCAGACCAGTTTGTATTTTATGTACAAAAATATTTTAAACCCAAATCAGTCATTCCTAAATGATTAGCAATTACTAACTGTTACAGTCTATACTTGAATGTTTTAAAACACTAATATAATCATGCCAAATTTCAAGTTTTGAAACATATATTCGTGTAATAACCTCACATTCATTACTCCTGAATTCCATGGCTTTAAAGATCGTTTAGTTTCTCTTACAGTTGAAACTTGAATCTTCTGAATCTTTTATCACCACCTATTGCTTCTAATGATAATTGTTATTCAGTTTATCCAGTAAGTTTAATATAATCAGTTTTTAAATGTCATCTATGTTTATAACTGCTCCAATAGGCTCTTTATCAAGAGTAATATTATCATTTTATTTAACATCAAGTATGATGCATTCACTGTTATATAATGCAGTGTGAAACTTCTGACTTAAAAATTCTTAACATAAATGTTTTCAAAATGTTGCAAAAACAATTGAGTTATACGAACAACTTTAATATGCTTTACTTAAATTTCACACTGAGAGTCTACCAATTACAGGTATTTTATTTTTTGTGAATTAGTCATTTAATAAAACCTATGAAATCAAATTACTTGTATATGGTAATCAGAAAATTTTACGCAGGCTGAGTTTATAATAGGCCTAAAATGTGTACAAAAAATCACTCTTTTAAATGCGGTTACGGTTTTTTTTTCTTCACATTCCTCTCTCATCTTCTAAACCAATTCACGAGTTGTGGTATTTAATGAAATGACTCTTGTGGGAGACAAAATACACATCTGAAATTATGTTTACACGCCTCTGTTTTTGAATCCGAAATATACAAATTGCAAGGAACGTAAAAAACAACAAATATGATTTGCGTTATTTTTATCACAAATCTTAGGTTTAGTTGTTTTTAATGCTTCGCTAGCTTTCGAGATTTAAACCGTAACATTTACGTGTATCAACGTGTACTTTCCAGTATGTGGTTTACTTTGTTTGGTATTTCGCGCAAAGCTATACGAGAGCTATCTGCGCTAACCGTCCCTAATTTAGCAGTGAAATACTTGAAGGAAGGCAGCTAATCATCACCACCCACTGCCAACTCTTAGGCCACTCTTTTACCAACGAATAGTGGGATTGACCGTCATATTATAACGCTCCCACAGCAGAAAGGGTATGTTTGGTGGGACAGGGATTCGAACCCGCTGATTACGAGTCGAGCGCCTTAACCACCTGGCCATGCCTAGCCCTCCAGTATGTGATCTCTCAGCTTGTGTATACACACAATATTTTTTAAAGCTTTTTATTGAACAAAAACTCCTTTCCGCTACAAGCTTTAGGCAGGTTCTTAACCCTAAACTTATATACTGTGTCCAACTTAATCTCGGTATAATACATCCTTAAAATTTTTCCCTAGCTTTTTTTTTTATTTTTTCTGTTGTATTTTCGCGCAGAGCTACACAAAGACCACGCTAGCCGCCTCTAATTTTGAAGTGACAGACTAGTGGAACAGAATATATTGTTATTTCGAAACTCAATATTCCAACCTACGGTAAAGACAACGATTATGTTTTGGACTCATCAATATCCTTAGTTCTGGAGATGTTCACCTTGTTTGAAAACTATTTATTACTTTATTTATTAATTCGCTAGGTTATGCAATCAGCACAGCACCTTGTTTCATTATTTGTAATTCATGATGGAACAACTTAAAAGTATCCGATAATTTATATTCTCGATTCAATAAGATCAGTTTATAACTATAAATGTATAAGTATGTCCATGTGTGAATATAATTCAGTACAGGGTGGTTTATGATACTGGCTATATCTAAATTTTCCGTTTTGGTGATTTGGACTCATTCTCTTCAGTTTAAACCTAGTACTATTGTGGAAGATATTCATATACTAAGTAAAACTACAGATATGTGATTCATGACTGAACATCATAAAGGTGTCGCAAGTATTTCTCCTGTAGAATATAGATTTGAACTCAAAGAGGCATTGTTCTAACCATGTTAAAAGAAAAGTGGGAACCAAAGGCGAACCCATGGTAAAAGCACTGATTTTTTTTGTTAGATGGTCAGATGGAGGATTCATATTAGGCTTCAACTATCTCTTGTCTGCTCTGTTCTATCCGTCAAGTAGGTACATCTATACGCAAGGGCGGTCATAGTCATTCTGGAGCCCCATAATGATAAGAAAACTCAGTAACCAAACTTTAAATGTAGAACATATGATAATCGGGGGGTCCTTCCATTTGTGTGGTCCAGGGCAATTGCCAAGTTTGCCCAAAAGGTAAGGCCGCCTATGTCTATATGTAGTGTTAAGTTCAAAGGTCCATAAAATTAAAGGTCAAAAGCAGTGATATCAGTATTATAGTGTTAGCTTTGGCCCAAAAGGCTATTTCGCCAGAGTTGAAATATGGGGATAGCCAGAACCGATTCTCTCTCTTATAAAAGGTTTAAATGAAACTTCGATGCAGTTGACAATATTTTGGGATTGGCAGAAGAAAGATTTCCAAACATCGATTTCAAAGAAGTTCGACTTTCCACATACAAATATAGTGGGATAAGTAAACTGTTACAAATTATTTATAACTGTGACTCAACACTTGAATTTTATTTTAAACAACCTGATCATGAATTATATTTACTAAAGTCAATTTATTTGATATAATTTTATGTATTGAATCTTGGTTATAAAACCTGTTTATATCGAGTAACGAGACACCGGTATCTCCACAGAATTAAACTGTTTTCTATGGCGTGTAATGTTAAATATATAGTATGCACGATTTTTTTTTGCAACCATAAATAAGATCTTTCGTGGGCCTAATTAAATTTATAATTGAGAAACCGTAAGTATAAAAACCTGCAAAACTAGTGCATATACACCTTCAGCCTGTAAGATGTTTACAGATCTCAATATATTTCAATAGATAATTCTCACAGCTCCTTTTATAAACAGTTAGAGAGAGGAGATAAATTTTACGGATTCACAGATCATAAAGAAAAGAACCACTGCATTTTGTTGGAGTGAAAATTAAACAAATAAAAACGTAATAATGATGAAGTTAAAGAAGTCTACTAAATATAATATTTTCCCGCAACTGACCAATTTTGTCAAACAATAAACTTCAAGATATAACATGTGGGAGCTGATAGACCACTGGCATTCATTCCACTAACACTGTGCGGAAATTTTAAGTACTTTTACACAAACCTATTCAATTAAGATGAAGCGTTTCTTTAAAAGAAAAAAAAAAAACTAGGCAGAAATTTAATGCACGTGCAGTTTCATAAATATTCCTGTGGTGTAATTCAGATTCACAATTTACATTGTATACATTATACGTGGTCCTACAATTAGCGTTTAAAAGTACTATTGATTTATGGTATTCTCAGGCAAAACTGAACCGACAGGTAAGTTAATTACGATCACAAAATAGAATTGTTAGAATTTACTTGCAGAGCCTAAGTACGTAAAATTCTACCGAAAGAAAAAAATAGACCGATTTGGAAACAAAGAATCCGTTTTCTACACAGCTGGTGTTGAGCCAAAGTTTTATTTATGTGATCGGATTCTCTGTATACAACCACAATTGGGGAACACAGACAATTCCTGATAAGTACACGAACAATCACCACGACAAATCTGACTATGCTTTGCTTGAACTATATTCAAGTTAAAGATCTGCCAGGAATTCTCAGAATCTTATTTCACCAACGTCAGGTGATTTTTAAACTCATTAAAAAGATGAAACCAGAGTTTCCTGTGTCTATTTATATATATATATATATATGTTCCACACGTCTGACGTCGTAAAAAAAAGTCGATGACTGAATGTTTTGGATATAAGCGCAAAGCTACATGAGTGCTATCTGTATTAGTCGTCCCTAACTTTGAACTGATATGCTAGAAGGATGGCAGGTAGTCAACAGCACCAACAGTTTGTTTGTTTTGAATTTCGCGCAAAGCTACACGAGGGCTATCTGAGCTAGTCGTTCCTAATCTAGCAGTGTAAGACTAGAGGGAAGGCAGCTAGTCATCACCACCCACCGCCAACTGTTGGGCTACTCTTTTACCAACGAATAGTAGGATTCACCGTCACGTTATAACGCCCGCACGGCTGAAAGGGTAGCTTATTTGGTGTGATTCGAACCCGCGACCCTCAGATTGCGAGTCGAGTGCCCTAACCACCTGGCCATGCCGGGCCTAGAACAAACGGCAATTTCTCTAGATACGCTAAATGAACAGTGGGGGTTGACCGTCACTCTTACAATGCACCCATGGTCCCAAGGTGTAGAACGTGAACCATGGCTCTCGGATTCACGGTTCGACACGCTAACCACTAGGTCCAAACCCGTCCTTTGTAAAAAAAAATAAGGTTTTATCAAATGTGCCGGCCACACAAATACAGGCACACTTGTACTAGTCCTTCCAATGAGTAACTGAACTAAAGACAGGATTGAGCGTAGTTCACAACTGGCAATATCTTTTCCATGTAGAATATGAAAGCACCTGCAACCTGTACCAAAAATAAATTTATTAGAGCTAGATTCATTTTCTAATTCATAAAAGGGTTACAGCCATTATATTTCCATACTATAGCTGTACAAACCATTATTAATCAAACATGTGCATTCGAAAAAGACTGTAATTATAAGAAATTATAGAAGTAAAGTAACATTCTTTAACTGCTATGTCAAGTAATGATTCACTCAAAACCAAGGCCTATCAAAGCCGGCTGGGATACAACGAACAGAGGAATGGTCGAGACGCTATTTATATCATGAATTCCGTGAACAACTGTTTTGGTGTTAATTAAGCTGGTGAACTGTAATTTTCTATCAGTTTTGTATAAATCATTAAATATCACAATTAGGTTTGTTATTAACAGCAAAATATTTATTTTAACACCAAGTTGTTTATCATTAATATTATTTATTTAATTTGCTTTGAATTAATTTTATTCATCGGTCAGGAGAACCGGCGAACCAGAAAGGTATTTTTTTATTATCATGGAGCAGGTCAACTGATCACAGGGTCAACAGGAAAAGACTACATTATATTCATAAGAACTTATGAAAGTAAAGAATAATGTAATAATGTCAACCACACTGTATATGCTATATATCCAGTGGCGACGAGGCCTTTCGCTAGAGCTCATAAGGCTGCCTGCGATACGAGAGACACAGTAGTGGCCGAGTCGCTATTTATATCATACTGTTGCGTCAGCGAGTCACATGACTAGTGTGACGCCACGTTTCTAGAACTATCCCGTACCTTGGCGAATGCTCTAGTATTTACTAGATATAGGGTAGCCTGGTATATAAACGAGGGTGACAACGTGACGGTAATGTGTGTGTAGACAGTGAGTAATTGATCTGCAGTCAGAGAGAGACGTATTGTTGTTATAGCGTTTGTTTTAGCGCGATTGTTGAAATTAAGTGTATCGTAAAGTTATATTCGGAAAGAATAAACCAGTTTTATTAAGTAAGGACTTGTGTCGCTAAAGTTTCATCGGAACGAAGTTACGTAAAGTTAATTAACAAACGGAGACGTAACAATACATTACTTGAACAACAACGCTATGATGTGAATTACGTTACGTTGGTGAACCGCAATTTCTGATAATTATATTCGATACATTATGCATCATTAACTTCCAATCTTTTTTTTCTTTTCATTTTAACGACACATTTCTTAGTATTAATATTATATGTTATTAGGCCTATTGAGTAATCTTACGTAATAATAACAACATTGCATTGGATCATAATAACGATATAAAACAATTACTGAAATTTCGATGGTTTATAATAATATATATGTATGGTATTTTTACTCTGGCTAACATTTTTCGTGCCAAAATCTAAAAACGTGATACTGACGCCATTCTTTCCGTTTCTTAATTGTATTTACTAATCAACGTGAACACTGTAAAAAACCTGGGAGTTAGAGCCTAGTTGTCGGACTTATCTCTAGTAAGTTGATTGAAATAAACTGATCCACTCGTTATTTTATACTGATTATGATATGTATTAATGAAAAATGTAGTAACGACAAGGCGAAGGCCTCCTAGTATTAGTAGGCTGTTATCTAGGAGTGATGTACATTTTGTATAAACATGTATTACACACAGAATTTGCCGTCGATAAACGAAGATTGTTTCTTTCAAGTGTCAGAAGCCCTAATGAGAGATGGACTTGTATGTGGTGTCAAAATTTGACATTAGTGAAGTTAAGGCCTTTCAGTCAGGTTAAACGCAAAAGTAGCTTTGATTACCTTATCCTCTTATACCATTTACAGCTTTTACAGACTGCGAAACCTACAGTAAAGAGGCATAACTTACTGGACCTATTCATACTTATTAATGTGGGATGTCGTAGTAATATGTCAAAAGATCTGTTTGTAGAATGATCTTTATTTCACGGTGCAATGTTTATAATTAAGTTCACGTTACAAATATGTCTTCTAGTGACATGGAATATCATTATGTATCTTTAACCAGCAGGAATTAGTTTCACCTGTCAAACTAACACAAACTATTTGAGTTTTATAAATACGGATCCAGTATGTTTTGGGAACTACAGTGAAGGTTTTGTCCCTTCATAATACTGAGGCGTTACAGTATTTCGACATAGCTATCTCTCTTTATATAAAAACTTGTATCTCTTGGCTCATCTGTGATAAGCCACACTGTACTATGTAACATTAGTGAAAGCCAAAAGAATACTGTTAGAACAATGCAATTAACTCAGTCTTTTATTCTGTTTAATAAATTCAGGTATTTCTTAATTAACACACAAGAGTGACCATAACACCATAAATACATTTATATTATGGCATCTTAAGGCTGTTCCATAATAAAGTTTTACATATATTCTATTAAATGACAGCTATCCTTTTGAGATAAAGTAGAAAAAAGAAGTCATTCCCAATGTATGGAACAGTGAGAAAAAAAAAGGATTACAAAAAAATTTCTGCTAAATAAAGCATTTGGAAAACATAAAGAAGCTAAAGCAAAAAACAAAAACACTCAGGCTTTATGTAATGTTATTAACATTATTTTGAAAACCTTGCGAGTTCAAGAGTGGCAGTTTCTAGATGCCTCTATTGTTACAGTCAACTGCAATATTTCTTTGTAGGCAAGTTAGAATGATTAATTACACAGATTAACATAATTTCTAATATTTGCATACTAATTATTAAAATATATTACGGTACATATATAAATTATCTTAATAATCACAGGATTTACAAAACTGTTTTAAGGACAGCTTCCATTCAGCACTAGATTTCTTCATTTTACACAGCTTACAGAAAAAAACAACAACATTGGTTCTGGTGAGGTAAAGCAACTACTAAAATTGAAAATTCAGAAGAATATAGATTAATAAATAACTTTTGAGATTTCTTTTTTTTGTGTTACTTAAGTTTCTAATAAAATGTTAGACTAAAAGAAAGTCCAAATGGTATTGAAATTTTTTATTATTATTATTATTTTAGTTTTACTTATAATACAAAAGTAGTCACAATTTTGAAATTAAATTCACTCAAAAGAAAAATAACAACAGTACAACAATCTACTGAACTCACCATTGGTGATATGTTTTTAGGCAGTAATGTTGGCTCATTTTTAAATGGGGACATGTTGCTCTGAGAGCTGGCACTAGCAATCGGCACTGTAATTAATTGAGCTGGAACAGCTGAAAGAAAATTAGTATCATTTAAATATTTAATTAGGCTTGAATAAGAATACTCATCTCTTTATCAATAAACCACATCCAATCTGAAAGAAGTATTTTAAACAACCTATAGATATTAACCAAATACTTATAAAACTATTAGCATGCAAGTCATGTTAAAAAAAGAGGACTAAGAGATGAATAGTTGGCTGGTAAAAAGATGAGCTAATATATTTGATAATTTAAAGAATGTGATACACATGCAATGTACTTGTAAATAGTTGGATGGCATACAATGTGTGGAGCCTGAAAATCACTTTTCATATAGGATTTCGAATAAAATGAGCTAAGATACAAGCCAATTTTACATATCATGACAATAATTAAAATATTACTAACCACAAACTGAGAAAGTTTCTTCAAATGCAAGCATCCTGAACAACATAAACATACATTTTATAAACAGATGATCTTTTCACTAAGAACAGGCATATCATATTCATCAAGATATTAAAACTGTTTGCTCACCCTAACTTCAATTTGAAGGAACAATGACATCTATCTACTACTGTTGCTCAGTTTTAAAATTTGCAGAATGCAAAATCCTACATCTTGGTCTACCATCTTCAGCTACTTACTTTAGCCAGTTGCAAAAAAGTTAATTATCCAGTTGTCTAAATTTAAAACATCTTTTGATACAGTTCTCTATCAATTTCTAAAAAATTTAAATTCAATCTTTTGTTCACACTCTCCATGTCAGACATTATGTACTCCTTTAAGATTTAAAAAATTTTTTTCTTAATTTTTTGATGCTTGATGAAATATAAAAAATTGACTTTTAAACCTTTTTCCTTTGTCATTTTACAGAGATAGTTTATATATTTGGGTGTTTCTCTATTGTTATGAACCTATGAGGAATATATTTAAATAATCTTCGATATAGCTACTGTTTATTCATCAATATAACCTATGCTTTTTCACTTGGCTTTATTTTGTTAAGCTGAAAGGCTGAAAGTTGGTCCCTCTTATGGCCTTCATTTTACCTTCATTACATCACACCATACTCTTAGTTTGACTTAGTCTGGGGAGGGAATTATTGGAATAGAGATTTCAACAGTTGTTTTAGGATAACTAAATTCCATCCATAAGTATTCCAAAATTGAGGATGTTAATCTTTTTCAACTTATTTTAACTACTGAAACAAAGCTGATTTTGAAAATAAGCAACAAAACTCCTTTCAGCCTCAGTAGGTTGAGATGTCAAGCTTTCTTCTTTTAATCAAAACCATATTTTCCTTCTCTTGGGTATAAGAAAAAAACAAAAAACAAACAGTAACACCCTAGTTTTTCTCACCATTTTCTTCTTCACCTTCAAAGGACTAAAATATTCTTCAGTATTCTCCATAAATTTTTAAATATTCAAGTTAGACATGTTCTTTATCGAAAAAAAAATGGGTGGCTATAAAAAAAAAAATAAATCCAGTTTGCCTCAAAAAAGGTATATGGGATAATATTAAAAGAAAATCACTATTAATTTAAGAAGTTTAAACTGACTTCTATGATGAGAGACTTAGAGGATTATAGAAGATTAAGAAAGTTGATCAAGTAGGACATTAGAAAGGTTGGCTGAAAATGTAAAAATTAATAGTAAGGATTACTTTAAATACATTACGGAGTAAGTAAAATATTAGTAAGGAGTAGGATCCTTGAGAGATGAAACAGGAAGGCTCCTACCTGATGATTGAGATGACTTGGATATTAAATTCTACTGTTTCTCTTCAGTTCTTACTAATGACATTTAAACAATATTTCTCATCCTGAACATTTACTAGATGTAAACAAGATAATCACATTAATTGTGAGTTTGTTACAAAAAAGTGGGGAAGTTTAAAGAATGATAAAGCTCCTGGGCTAGATATTTCCTCAAGACTTTTGAAGGAGGTTAAGAACGGATGTGTGTGTCACTTGTAAGTATTTTTTTGTAAGGCCTTGTATAGGGCAGGTACCAGAAGAGAAGTTGGCTAATGTTCAAGGAGGATGATAATTAGTCTTACATCAGTGGGAAAGTTTTTCTAATTTTTGATGAAAGATAGTTTGCATAGTCATTAAACGAAGTTTAAAATTTTGATGGATAGTTGACATTGCTTTTAATAGGGGAATATCTTACCTTACTAATCTTTTGACATTCCCCATTAATATATTAGGCAAAAAATCATTATCACACTGCTTGCTCACCCTATAAGCCATTATCAGACAAGACACATCATAATTTCAATAATGCTCATCGTTACTAAACATTGTCATGATTTAGACCATCTTAATTATTTTTCTGTATTAATCCAACTAAAAAATGGTAATATAACGATCTTTTTGTCTTCACACTTTCCAACATGTGACATTAACATTTAACTCATTAATATACTTAGAATTGACAGTAACCTGAACATGATCAATTCCTGGAAAGTTTAAAAACAAATGTCTTCAAAGTATATGCATCCATTTAATATTTCCACTTATTATTCAATCCAGATTATCTAACATCCAATTGGAAATTTTTTTTTTTCAGATATCTGGTATTCAATATTCATCAAATTGGCTATCTGGCACATCACTAATGTACATACAACACATATTAACATATCTCATATTTATTCTTGATACAGCGGGAATGTTGTCTCCTCCATGTTACTGTACAAATGTCAATCATGGCCTCCTTTTTTGAAATAGCAACCATGGAGAATTTACATTATCAAGATTCACTTCACTTATCTCAATGACCAATCTTCTTAGTAACCACACAGTTGTTTAGTTTTCTTTTCCTTGGCATACATCATTTTGCAGTGGCTCACAGTTAGAGAATAACAAGTACCCGAATCACCTTAGAAGATTTCTTTACAACAACTAGAGTAACCCGCTACCTTATTATTCATTCTCTTCTCAAACTAAATGGTCTTTCACTGGAATTCTATCCTATTAAACTGTTATTCCAACAGCAAAAGATCACATTGCAGTTAACCTTTATTTTTCAACACATCCATACTAGGATACACAAATAAATATAAATATAGTGATTGTTACTGCTTGATTACAGGTTGGTTCCAAACACAGTAATTTCCTAATCTCACTTTGACTTCCATTCACCATGTGGAGTTTAACATGCAGGGATCAAAGTAACAACCAATAATTGAGTATCTGTAAGCAACTAGGTTAAGTAAACTTTTCTCAGTTTTCTTGCTTGCCAAAAATAAAACTGGAAAATTACACTCTAAGTTCAGTGAGCTGTACTATGTATATAAGTTACTTTTTTACATTCAAACATCCTCACAAGAATCTTTTTTCCTTGACCTCCTCTCCTTTTCTAATCAACCTCACTTCCAGACTTGGACAATTCTAAGTTGAATTCTCTCCAAGACCACATAATTAACAAACAATTCCACTACTTCATGATGCTGGTCAACATGCGTACATAAAATTGTTTTTTGGTCACCTAAATGATTCTTTAAATTTTTTCAGCTAAGAGCAACCCTAACACTCCGTCTCTTGAGACTTCTTTTCTTTGTAGGGAGGAAGATACTGTTACGCCTCTGGTCGTTTGTTAATTTCCCGTATAATTTCTTTCCGATGAAACTTTAGCAATACAAGTCCTTTCTTAAATAAAACTAATTTATTCTTTCTCAATACAACTTTGCAATACACTTAATTTCCACAGTCACTTTAAACACACGCTATAATTCACAATGATTCACGCACTTACTTACGGTCACTACCGTGCTTGACTCAATTGTCCGTCTTTATCTCTGCCTGTCTGCAATTCAATTCCGAGTAATTTGTCTCACGTTATCCGGTGCACTTATATACAGGAATAGAGGGCGCCTAGCACATACTGGATTATTCGTGATGTTCCCCGATCCTTCTAGAATATCATGACGTGTTACCAGCGTCATGTGACTACCGCTGTCGTAACACTGCCCCTTCCTTAGTATTGTTCATCCCAAACAATAGCCACTTACATTAAACCAATAAACAATTAACAATAACTTAATTAAATGTACAGAATTTACAAACACAAAATTAAAATTCAACAAAGTCTCTTAATTTTACGGGATGTATCTTCTTCCATACTGGTCTCCGTCTCGTTGGCTTCTGCTTCATGTGGAGTTCATCTGCTTCATCAGGAAATGTCCTATCATCGATAACAGTCACATCAGTAGTAGTAACTTCATCAAGGGATTCACTGTTTCCCTTCTCAAAATCGAGTAGAGTTTCTTCTTCCACAGTGGCTTTTTCAGGTGACACATCTTCAACATCGTCATTTGTTCTGTTGTTCACTTCATCCCAACTGAAATGTCCTGGACTGTGATAATGCGTGTTGGCATGCACCACCTTTGGCTTACCTCGCCGACCACATTTTATCTGGAAAGTCACGTCTGAGAAACGATCCACTATGTAATATGGGCCTTCCCATGGAGAAGACAACTTAGGAGACTTCCCTTTTGTCTTCCTGGGATTATACAACCACACCTTGTCTCCTGGTACAAAGCTGACTTCAGTAGATCTCTTATCATAACATAGCTTCATCGAATCAGCAGACGTTTTCTACTGGACCTCTTAATGTAATTTATATAAGTTTGTAAAAAAAACCTTTATCTGTAATTGATAACATAACACTCACAAACAGATTTTACCATAATATTACACAGTTTATTTACATTAATTAGAAATTATACTTAAAACCTAGTCATCTCAATGAAATGACCATTTATTACAACTCAAAACCAAGTTAAGCTGGTGTTAAAAACTTGGTTTAACTAACCAACCCTAAAGAGTATACTGTCACCTCTCTTAAGTGATCCTCTGAAGTCTCACTGGTAAGATTCACTGTTGTAATAAATGTCTAAAAATATATCATATTGTACTTTCTTTATGTCACTCCAAATAAAAGCAAAATCACCAATTGACAGAAGAAAAAAAAAGATCCATTTATAATTACATTAGTAAACATTGCGGCATGTTTTAAAATTG